TCTTTCCAATATACACTTTTGCGACTATTGGCATGCTTATGACTTTTATGACCCCTAAAGGCTATTTTCAGTCAACTTTGTTAATTTTAATATACTTGTTGGCTACGTAGTTCACCGTCCGATGACCCTAAAAAAGACCGGTGAGCTTCTTAAGTTAACTCTTTCTTGACTGCAGTTAACAGCAATTGTGACTGCCTGGATACCTCAGGGTGATCTTCTCTGGCCTGCTGTTGAAAAACCCAGACTGATTGGGAGAAAAATTACAAAGTCCGAAGCTTTGGGGCTAGTTGTAGTGCTCTTTCCCAACGTCTCCCGGTATAACGTCGAAGACGTTGGTGTCTAAAGCACCTTTTTTATTTGCAGATTCAGTTGTTTTGGTGATCTTAGATGGGGAGATTGGTTAGTGATACTTGTCCAGTGGAGGCTGTCCCGTTGGCTCAATTTTTTTTTCCTTCATAGCTGTTATGAAGAGGATCAGTGATTCCTGGTTGAATGCTTAGAGTCGAGATGGTAATATAGGGATGTCGGTCACTGGGTTTTCCAGCCTTGCAAAGAACAACTCCGCAGGTGACGTCTGCTAGTGAATGGCTGACTTGGTTTAATAGTGCCCGTCTTTAGTTAATACAGTCTTTTAGTCGACGAATCGCTTCTGAAAATGGTAGTAAAAATGTATTTGTTGGCAAGGTAGTTTACACTTAGGTGGCTCCTAAAAAAAACCGATGAAATTGATAGTTAAGTGGAACGTAAATACTTATAATGGCCCTAAAAAGCGCCAGTGGTGAAACTTCCAGGCTATTCTTTATTATTATTCCTGATGATGAAGAGCTGGCTACGGGTTGCTTGATTCTTACCCTGGGAGTCTCGATGTATGGAGACTGTGATGGAGGGAGGTACGCCGCTGATCAAAGAATATCTCGTCTTCGGATAAACAACCGCTCATCGTTAGACGGGAACATGTGGGTAAGCGCGTTGGGGACGCGGCGACTAAGAAGGTAGGCGTTGTGGCTGCCCGTGCCCATCAGAGCTGTTTTCCCTTGCTTACATTTGTAGCCAAAAATTCTATGACTGCACCAGGCGGGATGGTGGGACTGCCACACAACTCTGAAGAGTTGGTGCAGATTGTGCTCTGGCTAGATATCTCTCCTGGTATTATGCCAGAGACGTCATCGGTTGGAATGAATTTTTTTTTACCGCACTCGTCGAGATTCAGGGTGAATGGAAACCTAGGTCCCTTCCCCCTTACAGAAGAGTGTCGTCCGTTACCGGGATATCCAGCTGCAAGACTATCATCAGCATTCTCTATGGAGCTCGTTAAAATGCCAAAGCACGATTGCATCAATATTGAGACGCTCCGGCCTATTATAACTACACTTATTCAATTCTGTTGCAGGTAGCCTCGATTTTATGTTGACGCCACCTAGCATATTTTACTGAACTAAAGTGAAAAGCTGGCGTATTTTTGCAAAACTTTGAGCTCATTTATTGGTATTGTTATAAAATTTTTTAAGATAAAAACTATACCAAAACTATTCAGGAAGTATCATGAATCAGTGTGTAAAGTTTCAGCAAAACCGGTTCAGTAGTTTTCGCGGTTAGCGATTACAACGGCTTTAGCGACTTTGCTTTATATATTAGTAAGATTAATGTGACCTGCGTGTCGATAACCTTGTGAAAACTGCTTTCAGGGTCGTGTAAGAACTTAAGCCTTGGCTAATATGGACTGCAGGTCCTTCACTTAAATAAATACACCCTACTCTACACTCTCTCTACATATATTTATATATTATATAGTTATCTCTGGGGGCATTCTACAAAACCCCCCCACAGTCCCCCATTCACCCCTTATAGCCCCCCACTGCCCCCCACAAAATAAAGTAACAACCCGTCATTTTCTTCCTTACTTTAACACATCGCAGTTTTCTTAAAAAATCCCCACAGATGCCCTCCACAGACCCCCAACAGCCCTCTACAGATCCCTCACGCATTTTTTCGTGACCCACACGCAGCCCCCCTACAGTTCCACCACACAATTATGCCAGTCCCTTCACAGACCTCCCGCAGCCCCCCACAGGCCCCCCACACCATTTT